CCTTCTCCCTCAACAGCAGCAAGGTGTACGCATATGAACTGACCACTGCAAGGGTTGTTCCAGAAGCATTCTATGTTATTGTCTTGTTCTTCCAGTGTCAAGCAGAACCTCCTCTGGCCTACTGTCTTGACCTAATCTTTGAAAGGCCAGATCCTCAGCTTTGTGGCCATGAAATGCATCTTCTCTTATTAACAAAAGTTGGTGTTTCCACCTTGACTTAGATCATATACCCTGTGATCTGACCAAGGAAATCACTGCCACAATCCTTCCCCTCTTCTGGATCACTAATTTCCCCCTCTCTACTGAATCGTTTTAATCTACATAGGAAGATAGCGTTTTTCCCACTTCTGGTGGTCCCCCACTTAACCTTGCACCTGCTCTCCCTCTCCTCTCTATTTTAAGAGCAAAACTCTTTAGCCGTCTCTTCTTGGGCTCTTCACTGTCTCTTTCCATGTCCTCCTTCCAGTCCGGTTTGTACCACCACAAGCCAGGGGCCTGTTTTTCATAAGGGTCACATCCTGCATACAAGGACACGTAACAATGCATTCTCCCTCCCACATGATAATCACAGCATTGATTTAATTGTAGTTCTATTTATTTAGACCTCAATCTACCATACTGGTTTTCTCTGTTGTTGTTGTTGTTGTTGTTGTTTTTGTTTTGTTTTGGTGTTGGTTTTTTTTTTTTTTTTTTGCATTCTACCTGTCTCTGCTCTGGACTTCTCATCAGTTCCTTAATCCTTAGGTGGTGGAGACCCCAGGGCTCAGTCTTGGGGCTTCTTTTCCATCAGTTTTTCATTCCTAGTGCATCTCCCCTGGAATCTTCTGTATTTACCACCGTCTTATGACTTTGAATAATACCCGTATGTCTTTGACTGCAAAGATCTATTTATAGCCTCACCTCTCCCATGAACTCTTAGTCAATACAACCAACAGCCCACTTGGGTATCCCTTTGAGAGCCTACCAGGTGCCTCACAGTGTAAGGAGTGAGAAGGGTTGACAGGCAGTTAGGAAGGGTCCCTGTGGGAATAAAGAACCAGGTGTTCCTTACTGGTGGTGAGACCTGCCACCCACTGATAGAGAACACAGTGTGTGCCACACCTGTAGGGAAGCCTATGAGAAACTACACTCTGGCACCACACCAGAACACCAGACACCACAGCATGTCTTCCGTGCTTAGCAACTGACAGGTGGACATAATCTATCTTAACTAATCATGTCAACGATATCTCTCAACTCACATCTCCCAAGTGGGTGATATGGTGAAGTTTACTTAACTGGTCAGGAACTGTGACCGCTATGCAAGAGACATTAAAAAAAAAAAAAAAAAAAAAGCAGAACCCTGACATCCTGTAGCTATAAGGAAGAACTGATCGGGGCTGGCTCCATGGTACAGTAGGTCAATCCACCGCCTGCGGCACTGGTATCCCATATAAGCACCGGTTCTTGTCCCAGCTGCCCCTCTTCCAATCCAGCTCTCTGCTGTGGCCTGGGAAAGCAGTAGAAGATGACCCAAGTCCTTGGGCTCCTGTACCCATGTGGGAGACCCAGAGGAAGCTCCTGGCTCCTGGCTTCCAATTGGCGCAGCTCCTACCACTGTGGTCATTTGGGGAGTGAATCAATGGAAGGAAGAGCTTTATCTCTGTCTCTCCCCCTCACTGTCTGTAACTCTACCTCTCAAATAAATAAATAAATAAATAAAATCTTTTTTTTAAAAAAAAAGGAGAATTGATCATAGGATACAGTCCCTGCAGAAGCTCCCAATAGCCAGACTTTGACGGGCCCCGCCCTTGGGGATCCCTCCTGACAAGCAGGAGTCTTTGTTTCTCAATAAAACCTACTTTCAGTTGCTTTATTCACCCATCTTTTATTGTCCTCATTGTAATTCTTCATCGTTGTGAGACAAAGAATCGACTACGAACCCCTGCAACAACACATGAAACTCTCACAACAGAATTCCTAATTTTGTCTCCAAAACTTAGCTGGTAGCTTTTCTTTACTTTAAAGATTTATTTTTATTTATTTCAAAGGCAGATTTACAGAGAGAGAGACAGACAGACAGATTTTCCATCCACAGGATCTCTCCCCAAATGGCCACAATGCTTGGGGCTAGACAAGGCTGAAGCCAGGAGCTAGGGGCTTCTTCCAGGTCTCCCACAAGGGTTCCAGGGCCCAGGCACTTGGGCCATCCTCTGCTGCTTTCCCAGGTATATTAGCAGGGAGCTGGATTGGAAATGGTGCAGCCAGGACTCCAACTGGTGCCGATATGGGATGCTGGTGCTGCAGGCCAAGACTTTAACCTGCTGTGCCACAGTGCTGGCCCCTGATAGTTTTTCTACCTCAGTTAGTATCAGCCCCCAGCTCGCAACAGTTAGATCAAAGATCTTAATACCACTTGGGTCTCCCTCCGAGACTGCTGGAGAACCTCTTTAGCTATATGTTTATGACGTATCCAGATTTTGAACACTTCCCTCATATTCAGTGTGTATCGGGATACACCCAGTAGTCACAAAGAGACAATGCTGAAAGAATGAAGAGAGTCACATCCTACTCAGCTCACTACCTTCCTTGAGAAAGCTGAGCTCATTAACCTTCAATGTGATATAACCTGGCCAGTGCGGTACCCTATACTCTCAGCTAGTTCCGCTGTCCAACCAGAATCTTCTGACTTCTGCCACAATAACCTACTGCAAGTTTCCCACTTTATCATTCCTCTGCGCCCTTTGCATTACTGTCTCTTAGTCTAGAATGTTCTAGAGTTAATATTATGAATATAAAGTAAACTGCAAGTAGATCACTGTAAAAATTAAGATAGGGAACAGGAGAGGCAGGAGAAGGAAGGGTGAGACAGGGCTGGGAAGGAGGACAGGGTGGAATTATCACTATGTTCCAAAATCTGCATCGATGAAATACATGAACTTTGTGGACCTTAAATACATTTTTTTTTAAAAAGTCATCTAGCAGGCAAGTGCTCTGGCACAGTGGTTAAGACAGCCATCCCAGACAGAAGAACTGCCTGGATTGAACTTGATACACTCCATTTCTACTTCTCTCTCTTTCTCCACACAAACACTTTCTCTTCCTCCGTCCCTCCCTCCCACCCTCCGTCCTCCTCCAAGATGGGGATCCGCCATTGTCAAGGCTAACAAAAAATCCTGCAGTAACAACACAACAGATACAAAATTTTTTATTATTGCAGGATTGCCAATATATAAAAAGGACGTGTGGGCAGAGGCTGGGAAGGCACTGTGAGAGGCCGTTCACAAGGTTTGTACTATGACCCATGCATTGTTCTGGGCGGAAAGAGCACAGAGAAGGAACAGTCCCTCCCCTGGGGGAGTGTGCCATCTTGCAGAATTTATGACAACTTCTGAAATTCCATTGGATAAGCAACAGTGGTGTAACTTGTTTTGTCGCCAGCTTCGAGGTCACCAGTGTGCTTCAGGACTCAAAGTATGCAGGGCCCCACTACGCCTCCTCCGTGAGGCGTGGGGAACAGGAGGTGTAATATTAGTGGGAACCAAGATTCTTGCTGCAGGGGAGGCAGGAGAGGAGGTTTGGGTGTGCACCAAGGAGCAGGCACCTTCCCCCATCAGGTTACCAAAAGATCACGGTCCACGTCTCTATGACTTCGCACCTGCAAAGACCCCATCGAAGGAGCGAATGTGCCCCTGGCCTGCGGTGCTGGGTGGTTCACGGTGCCGGCCCCCTTATCCAGGCCCCACACTGTGTCCACTCACCCTTCTCCTTCCCCATATCTGTGTGAAACACCATCACCCAAAGCCGGCCCCAGGGAGAGCTGGGCCCTCAGTGACTTCATGGGCAAAGACATGTATTTCCTGTTTGTTTCTGTCTGTCTGTCTGTCTCTCTCCTTCTCCGTGGACCCCAACACACAAGGCTTATTCTGCTCCCTTGGGAAAGGCCCTTACCCGCACTGAGAAGAGAAGGCTATACACTACCTTCCATGCCTGCTGGACTTCTACTGCCAGATACAAACTTGCAAAAGTGGTGAAAATCAAAACGCACATTACGCTGACCCGCTTCAAAAGCTATAAAAAAGAGAGATGTCTGTGTGTGCCTGTGAATCATGGCTGCATCGCCGTCTCTTCTCCTTGCATGCCTGGGTCCTGCAGGGAGGCTCACCTCAGGGTGCACATCCGTGTCCCAGCCCCCTTGAGACCAGCGGCACCCTCCTGCCCCCTGCTCTGAGATATCAGGTTCAGAGAGCCTCAGCACCCAGAATCGCGGAAAGAGGAAGAGCCTTTCTTTCCAAGAATCTCTGGAAAGGAGTCCAACCGGCTGTCCTGAGACCACAGCTGTGTTCAGAAGGCTGAGGTAACTTGGACCGGCTTGGGTACCACAAGGTAACAGAAATAGGTAACAGCCTCACCAAGAATTCCTGCAAGGAAAATATTTTTAGCAGATAAAAAAATTAAAAATCAAAGGGCAACAGGTGTGCACTGCATCGCAGAGGAACAGCATAGCTGACTTCCAAGCGTCTTGCGCGGCTGCGTAGCTGGGGATGGAGACATGAGGTACAGAGACAAAAGCAGTTTGGGCCCAGAGAATTGAGCTTCTAAAGATGCTGGGTTTAAAGCGCCGGAAGGACGTTTGAATGAGCTAATGTCTTGAGAAGAATACCTTAGGCAGGAGCATAGGATACAGTCGCACATTTCAAAAACGACGTGAAAACCGAATACTGACTCCTATTAGGGTGCATCTGGGTGGGCCGCAAGAAACCCACCACTGTGATTGTTAATCAGGGAAGTTCCTTAGCAAAACATAAGTGACCTCTTTTGCTTATTTTACACATCTGTAGACATTTTCAAGCACCCCCAGAAATCCCGAAGCCGCAGGACTCCCCCGGCTGGGCTCTGACCTGGGATCACCAGGAGAGCACCTGCTCTGCCCGGACGAGGCGGCCGTGGACTACAATTCCCGGCGTGCGCCGCGCGGGGGGGGCGGCGACGGGGGCGGAGCGAGGAGCAGCCGCCGGCGCGAGCGGCCGGGCGGGGATCGGGCGGCGCCGAGCTGAGGTGGCGGGGGACGAGCTCCCGGATGTGGAGAAGCTGGGGAGAAGGCGTGGGAGGAAGATGGACTCGGTGGAGAAGGGGGCCGCCACCTCCGTCTCCAATCCGCGGGGGCGGCCGTCCCGGGGCCGGCCGCCGAAGCTGCAGCGCAACTCCCGCGGCGGCCAGGGCCGAGGGGTGGAGAAGCCCCCGCACCTGGCGGCCCTAGTGCTGGCCCGGGGCGGCAGCAAAGGCATCCCCCTGAAGAACATTAAGCACCTGGCGGGGGTCCCGCTCATTGGCTGGGTCCTGCGTGCAGCGCTGGACTCGGGGGTCTTCCAGAGGTGCGCATGTGCGAGAGTGGGCGGCGCGGCCTGGGCGGGGGTCGGGAGCGCGAGTCGGGCTGCCGCGGGAGAGGGGGCTCCCGGGGGCCTGCAGCGCCCGCCAGGGGCCGAGCGCTGCTGGAAGGGGCGTGCCAGCAAGGTTGGGGGTGCCCGGGGCCGGGCTGAGCGCGGGGCGGCGAACGGCTCCGGCCCCTTCCTGGTTCGGTAGCCGCGGCGAGTGTTGACCCCAAGCAGTCCCCGCCCTTGAGCGCCTCGGAGGCCCCTTGCCACCTGTCACCTGCAGGCCGGCCCCCGTGCGGCGTCGGGGTCCCGAGCGGACTCGTCTAGGCCGGCCTCGGGGCCCCCCTGCTGCTCGGGGCTGATCGGCGAGGGCAACTGGAGGTTCCTGAATGGAGCCTGCTGACCGGGCTTGCTAGTTTCAGCTCAGCTTGGAGATCCTTTCCTAACCTTTGGGGAAAAAAAAAAAAAAGACTCCAGCTGTCTGCCTGTGACTCAGCACAATCCAGGAAGCCCCCTACGTGTGTCACAGGTGGGAGACAGCGGGGCGGTGCACAGCGGGTTGTTGGACGCTAGGCTTGCGAATGCACCTGCCATACCCTTTTAACTTTGTCTGCCCGAAGGGCAGTTTTTATAGCGCGTCATGGAGAGGCATGGGCGCATGTCAGATCGCTTGGGAGTTACAAGCTGATGTCATTCATAAAAGAAAGGAGATAAAATTCTTTGCCAGGAATGCATTAACAACACACAGTTGCCTCAACCTAATGAATCTGTTGGTTTCTGTAGACTTTTATTTTGATGTGATTTTTTTAAAGAGATGACTGTTTATGAAACGCGTTAATTACCCATAGTGCATTACCCCTGTTCATATGAGTAAAAATGATTTCCACATAACCAGTTTTGTTTCAAAAGGAGATGCCAAAAATAAAAATTTATGACTTTTCTGACTGTTTTAACCTAAAGGAAGGATGGACAGGCAAATAGGAGCTGGCACCCAGAAGATAACACTAAGTCAGTGGTGGGAAGCGTGCGGAGGAGAGATAGGGCAGCACTGGGAGTTTGTTTTCATTCCGTCAGCATTCACAGAACCCTGGTCTCCGCCGTACACATGCAGGGGAATGTTGAGCTGAATGGGATGTGATTCTTGTCCTCGTGAAGGCACGGACGTTTGGAATTTTTTGCCACCTTAGTAAGGATCCAGACTGAAAAACAGAGACTGAGAGACGTCTGCATCCAGGCCATTGTCATGTAGTAAAATCCCAATTTTGTTAAATGAACTTGAGATCATAGTCCTGTTCATAGCAGGTTAAAACAAAGCTCTCAAAGACAATTCTTGGGTTGCTTGAGAATTTCCAGAAACACCTTTCACAAAAGGAGGGTAAGGCTTGTGCCAGGTACAAATTCAAGGACAAAAAACGGGTTCTTTCGTTCAGCAAATACTTGTTGACTGCCTAGTGTGTGGCAGGCACTGCTCTGTGTCCTGAACCAGAGGCTACTGTTGTAGCAGTGGGGTCAGTCCCTAGCCTTATGCAGTCTGCATTATAGTAGAGGCAGGAAATGTATGCTATGGCACGTGGTGACAGATTTTTTTAAGAAAAATAAATCAGGGTAAGGGGTGGGTGTGTGCTGTCACAGAGTCCTCGGTTTGGTTCTGGTTAGAATCACCACTCACCAGGCATTTGATTGTACTAAGAACTGCCCTGGCACATAACAACCAGTCCATACCAAGAAAGTTGACCAAACTGTTGCCTGGCTTCTAGAAACTTAAAGCCCTGTCCCTAGGATGATCCCATTCCTCGTTAAAATATCTGCCTTAGGAGCCTCAGTGCTGCCAGAAGACATTGCTGTTTGTTCCAAGATAAACTTGGCCGTAGACAGGCCCCTCAGCCACCTCTTAGAGCAGTCACTTTAGAAAGCTTGCAATTGCAGACACCTTGGCTGCCCTTTGAGATGTAAGTTCACCTCCCTCTAATGTGGTCAGCATCTGGGAGACACAGACACTCTGGAGGTGAGTCCCAGTCTCCTCCCCAGCCCTGAGAGAAGATAAGGCCCTAACTTTGGTGGGCTCCTTGTTTCAATTTACAGGATTGCCCCGGCCATCAAGTTTCTTTTTCCACCAGAAGAACAACCAGTTGATAAAGCCAGGTGACCAATCATGGGCTAACTCACCAGCCTTTAGAAGGTCTCAGGCTTTTACTTTCTGGAACTGTTGGATCCAGTCCACAATGGAATCTTCCCTATTGCAGGAGTTACAGGGTGCAGCCTCTCCTAACCACTTTAGCATCTGGCTTTGTTAGTCTTTAACAGCACTCCCTCCTATCCATCCAGGTTGCAGTGCAGTCAGAAAGAGCTGTTCGCACAGCTTTAACAAATCTCACTGGCATCTCTTTGGGTTCCCTGCTTACTCTTGAACCAGTCACGGTAGCAGCAATGCTTTTCATTGGTCCCTTTGAGCCACATCTTCCACTCCCGGAGCCAGCAGTGGGACCCACCGTGCAAGCACGATGGGTTTGTCAAAAGGAAAATTGGCATTCCATTACCAAAAGTATCGGGGAGTGGATTCTGAGAGTCAAAACCCAGCAGACATTGGGGATTTTGCTGGAAAACGATTGGGAAATATGTATATATATTACTTATTTTCTGTTTATTAAAATGTACTTTTACAAAAACTCCATCAAGAAATGACTCAAGGATTAGTTTTCTCTGTAGCATCTAGCCTGGAGTGTAAGTTCAGCCTAGGGATAGCAGTTTATACTTCTAGCCACTATGGCATCTCTTACCATACGACTTCCTAGCGATTAGAAGAAAACTGCATAGTTCCCCTTACTAGCCAAACTGGCCTAGTGGTTCTAACTTTGCCTTCTTTAAGTCACACTGCTGTGAGGTAGTGTGCTTGTACTCTGTTCACGGCTCACAGCTGCCTGCTAGCTGGCGTTCCTTCTAGGGACCTGGAGAGTTTAAAGAAGGGATCAGCCTCCCATGAGGCCTTTACTGATGGCCTCAGCGAAGATGCACTGTGCCTTCCAGTGCTGTGTATGTAACATCGCAGACCCTGCAGTCAAACTGGATTTCAGGGTCAGCTTTGCCGTGCACTAACGGTGCAGTCTTGAGTAAATCACTTAACCTCTCCGCTTCACTCTCCTCATGGGTAAGATGGACTTCAGTGTCTACCTGAGGCTTGCTTAGGGTGTTAAGTGAGATCACAGGTGTTCAGCCCTTCAGCTAGTGCCTGCTGCATTGTAGTCTTCATTGTCATTTGTCCCTGTATCGGAGGTTTATAAAACCTTCAGCTCTTCCTTCAGCCACAGTATCTTGATGGGAAAATTGTAATGATCTTCAAAATTCTTTCCATTACCAGCATGCTTTTGGCATGGAAGAATGAATGGAAATAGGTCTTTAGTCTCTACTTTAGCAGTAAATAATAAATATTTTAGGCTTTGCAGACCACTAGTAAGTTGTATGGTAGCCGCATCTCAGCTCTGCAGTGGTATGTTGTCAAAGTGGCCATAACAATGCATAAATAAGTTTGGCTGCATTGCATTAAACATTACAGAAGCAGGCAGAGGTGAGGGTTAGATTTGGCCTGAGACGACCCCTACTGTACTACCTAAAAATCTTACAACCAGGTGCTATTTAAACTCATGCTTTTAAATATTGGGGAAACAGAGAAAGAGAGAACTCCCATCTGCTGTTCACTCCCCAAATGCTTGCAATGACCACGGCTGGGCTGGGGCTGAAGCTAGGAGCCAGGAACCCAATCCAGAACTCCGACCAAATGGCAGGGACCCAATTACTTGGGCCATCACAGCTGCCACTTAGGGTGGTGGTTCCTGTTTTACTCCTCCTGGTATGCCTTGTGTTTTCAAAAATTGTTGACTTGATTTTGACTCTGTCTGACTACAGCAGGACTTGGGAGCACTCTTCCAGTCTCCAGCCCTCTCCTTTCTCAGGAGAGAAATGAAAAAAATTGTAGCTAGCTGATTTGTGTTTCCAGGGCCTGAAAGTACCTTGGAGGTTATTTTGTTCAAACCCAGGACCTCACTTAATTGAGGCATATTTTTCTGGCCTGCTCAGAATCCAAGCTGTCTTTGCCTAATAACGAAAATAATTTACAGTCAAGAAACAACTAGTTTTCATTTAATAAAGTTTTTGCAAGGGCTGCCTTTCTAAGAGCTTAATTTTCAACAGTGGCTCGCTGTTGTGAAAGTAGACCTCCGACCGAATAAATTGATTTTTAAAATCTTGCATAACATACTTGTGAAAAACAGACAAATTCTTGTTTGATTTCTAGGGCATGCATTTATAATTCATGAAAGGCCTGTGCTGTGTTATTATTCCTAAAATGGCAGTTTGTGATTTGAAATACCCATCACAGGCGCTGGGGTTGATATTCCTGTTCTTCCTGTTGGATGTAGTATGACTTCATTCGAGGCTAAAGCCATTGGGGTTAGACTTTGCCATTTACTCCACTTAATTTGTAATTTCATTAGGCTTGTTGGTTCACTTGCTGATTCTCATCTGATGGCTCCCCAAGCCTAAAGAAATTATCTACTCACTTAGTCTCTTTAATAAGGGATGGTCATTATATTTTAATCACACAAAGAGGATGCTGTTTTCACATTTTTGAATTCATAGTGTCCTTGCCTTACGTAATACAGACGAATTAGGCAAGTGAACCTTGAAAGATCTGGAAGTAGTACTCTGGTTTTCCTTTTGACAGATTCAGTGTGAGGATTAAAAGGGACAGTGCAGATGTTCTTTATTAACATTTCTATCTTAGTATTTTGAGTAGATAGCATTTATTAAGCGTTTATTCTGTGACAAGCAGTTTATGTTTAATCATCGCAACAACCATATGAGGTGCCCACTATCGTCAGCAGCTAAATTTTAGTGCAGATTGAGGCTCAGGGAGATGATGCGTTTCTCTGGGGTGGTAGCACTGGTATGTGGTAGAGCCAGGTTTTGAACTTGTTCCCACGGAACCCATGCTCTTTAACCACTCACTGTTCCACACATCCGCCTAGCAGGTACAGCCTGGGCCCATGTTGGACAGCAGGCACCATACACGTTCTTTGTGAAATGGAAAGCACTGTGAGGAGTGTGGTCCTTTAGTCGGCTCCTGGCCTCTCTCCCTCTAATGTTTAAAGGGAACTACAACACTGCTTTGACCTCAGCCTCTATCCAAAGGGCAAGGGTTGCCCAAGAAAATGGACTGCATTGTATACGCCATTATATCACAGCATCTGGAATAGTTCCTGGGACAAGTTAGGCATTCAGTGAACACTTTGTGAATGACTGAAAAAAGAGAGGAAGGAAGAAAAGCGAGCCAACAGGCCTATTCCAAAACGTCTATTATTACTTGTTATTTACCCTTCAAACACTTCACAAAGATCACAGAACCCTCTAGTGTTGAATTTTTCATTGCAGTAAAGAATAGGACAGTGAATAAATGACTTTAGTGATTTGCTTCAATTAATGAGATAAATTAGATGTCAAAGACCCATGTCTTTTGCTTTTATTCATTGCTTTTTACCATGTTCTCATGACCATACATCATCCTCAGCTCACCTCTCCATTTTAAACACACACTGGGTTTGCATCAGTACTTCACTCCACATAGCATTTACTGTGACCTTTCTCCAGAGAAAGATCTGTCCCCAAACTCTGTCACATTTCAAAAGGGAAGCAAACGGGGCTTCCTGTGTTCTGCCTCACACACTGACACAAGGAGATGTCCAGAGGCTCCTGAGCCCCAGCCAGTGGCTCATCTTGTTTACCAGGCTCCCTTAAAATTTGTTGTTGTTATTTCCAACTTTATCCCTTGATTTAAGCCTTCTGACAAATACCAATAAATGAAATTCAGAGATGTTAGAAGCTTTTTTGTAGTTTCTCACTTTCTTTTCTGCTTAACAAATGAGCTTAGACCCATGAAACTTGCAGTTCTTCTTGCCCACAATAGATGTTGACTACTGGGATAAATAAACAGACTGTAGGTCAACATAATATCACTGTTGAAGCATCATGGCTAGGTAATAGTCATGTCTTCTGTTTCTGGCAGTACGAATTTGTGGAGGTTTGGCAGACAAACTTTAATAGAGACTGTTGGTTATCATTGTGTAAAGTTTACATGGGCAGCTGTGTAAGTAAGCTGTGGTTAATCGCATGTGAAGTTAAACTCTCCAGAACCAATCAAATCATGTTCTGCATGTCGTTAACTATGGCTGTCACTTGGTGATTCGTTGTTCCAATGTGTATATACCTATTGTCCGTTGCTTGTAAAAAAGAGGTGGATTATTTCACTGTTTTGAGTCCAGACTTAGGCACCTTTAACTCTCTTCTAAGCTGGAACCTTGCAGCTTTAGTTTGTCCAAGGCAAGTCTATTTTTCCTTAACAAATATATTAAAATACTGTAGTTAAAGTTTTGGATTTGGATGGCGAATAAGAAGCAGGATCTTTTTGAAGTTGCTTTGGCTTTAGCTTCTAGTGCAATTTTACTTAACATATTGGTAATCTTAAAAGTATCCAGTATCTTTTTTTAAATTTTGTAAAACTTTCAAGGGCTACATAAAAAGTAGTTATGTAAATAGCCATACACTACAAAAAAAACTGTAATAAGCTAGAGTTACATTTTTATTCTGACATGAATTTACATACAAAATGTATCTTGACATTTTTTATTACTTTGGATCTTTGGCATGATGTTAATGGTACAAAAACCATTCAAACAGGGAAGCTACAGACTCCCCCCCCCCCCTTATCATTAGTGGTTTCTTCTGGTGATTTGGCTGTTAACTTTTTTTTTTTTTAATATCTGAACAGTGTATGGGTTTCAACAGACCATGATGAAATTGAGAATGTGGCCAAACAGTTTGGTGCACAAGTTCACCGAAGAAGTTCTGAAACCTCGAAAGACAGTTCTACCTCACTAGATGCCATCGTAGAATTTCTTAATTACCACAATGGTATGAGTTTGATTAATAGCTTATTCAAAGTTTTATGCAATTTCCAATTTTGTGTACCATCTCACAAGACTCTTTTTAACACTTGAAATTAAGATCTTAACTGTGACTGGCAAGAAACTTCATTTTGTTGTCTTTCTTATTTCTTTGGTCTTCTTAAGAGGTTGACATCGTAGGAAACATTCAAGCTACTTCTCCATGTTTACATCCCACCGACCTTCAAAAAGTGGCAGAAATGATTCGAGAAAAGGGATACGACTCTGTTTTCTCTGTTGTGAGACGCCATCAGTTTCGATGGAGTGAAATTCAGAAAGGAGGTAATCTGTTACCAATCTTCATTTGAGCTCATTTATTCAGCCAATGCTTTTGACATGTAAACACTCGTTAGGAGTTAACAGAGTGAAATAAGGGGATATTCATCTCATAAGGGGCTACTCACTTCCTAACAGCAGAAGGCAGTAACGTTTATCATCCATTCTGAATCCTGTGGTTGACACAGGACAGTGATCCCAAAGTCATGCATTGCTTTATTCTTGACAAGGCAACTTTCTCACCCTGTTTCTGTTTGCCTCTGAGGGTTGGGGCTACAGGAATCACAGGACGTGATTTAAGAATGGATGAAAAGGTTTTTGTAAATCAAACAGTTAGTGCTTGTTCTGGACTTGTTTGATAAACTCCTCAAAGATCATGTGAGAATAGAAGACATCCACCAGAGAGTTCTGGAGAACCTCAGAAACGAAACTGTGCAATCACTTCTTCAGATATGTAACCCGAGATATTTGTATGAGAAGGATTCCATAGGGTTAGTAGGAGCCTGATTTCCAAACAGATAACTAGCCAAATACATAATAAAGAATAGAATCACTCACAAATAGGCAAATGAAACATATTTGGGGAAAAGCAGTGGAGTTTCTGTCCGGTGCACTGACGTTTGTTGCATATAGGAAAGCTGCCTTATCTCAAATGCGTGTGTCTTACAGAAGATGGTAAAGAAAATACAGGGAGGCTCTGGCATTGTGGCGTAGAGGGTTAAGCCGCTGCCTCCAGTGCTGGCATCCCACACGGGAACTGGTTCAAGTCCCGGCTGCTCCACTTCCCATCCAGCTCCCTGCTAATGTGCCTGGAAAAGCAGTCGAAGATGGCTCCTGTACCCATATGGGAGATCTAGAAGAAGCTCCTGGCTTCGGCCTGGCCCTGCCCTGGCTGTTGTGGCCATTTGGGGAGTGAACCAGCGAATGAAAGATCTCTCTCCCTCTGTGTCCTTCCTTCTCTAATTCTGACTTTGAAATAAAATAAATCAATCTTTAAACAAAAAGAAAATGCAGAGACACTGGAGAAGGTTCATAAAAGAGCCATTAAGAAAACCAGGAAGATGAAATTAGACTGAAAAACAATGATTTTGAAAATAATGATTTTCCGAACTCCAGAATGTAATTGTTATCAAGACCAATAAATTGTCAATGAATGCATTTATTCCGGATGTCATTCAGTAAACATGTTTTGTTTTTGAGGGTCTATGTTAAGCTGCAGTTAAAAAATTTTGAACTTATTCACCAAATCTCAAGTAAGCTGCAGGAAGGATCTGTTAAATGTTAAAAGCAGTATTTTTCATTTTCTGACAGGCAGAAAGAGATCTTCCATCCACTGGCTCACTCCTCAAATTACACTAAATGTTACCCAGGGAATTGTTTGAGATGCTGTTTTTCCGTTCTGTAGTGTGCATCTGAGATCTCTCTTTTGCAGAGTCCATTCTCTGCTGAAGTCCTGCCATCTTTCATCCATTTTCAAGTCATTTCCTCTAACTTAACACATTTGTGATGCTTATTTACAAGTCTCGGATTATAAATCTCAGCATCGGATGCATTTGTGCATGTGCCTTGATGGCTTTGTCTCTCGATTGCCAGTCACATCCTTCTGCCGCTGCTTGTGTCTCGTATGCTATTGTACACCTGACATAAAGACTCGAGTCCTTGTTTCCTTCAGGGAGGTACTCCTTCGGGGGCTGATCACTTGGATCCAGTTAGGATCTGGAGTGGATTGAAGCGCTCACTTCAGGTCCCCTCTCAGTGTAGGTCCCTTGTCCTGAGAGAGGCCGCGTGACTATTGCTGATGCTCGTCCAGCCCACCCTTGTCAGCACCACCCGCACCGCAGGACTCTGAGGATCCCACCCTGGCTGCCAGCCCACCCCGGGCCTCGCGTGCTACAGCACACTCAGCAGAAACCCGGGGGTGGGATCCTTGAGTGCACAGAACTCGCTCTGCTCTGTGTGCGGGGAACCTACAGTGACAATCTGTGACCCAAGTCCACGAGGTCACTAAAGATTGTTCAGTTTTCTCCTCACCCCAGCAGGGCCGTTGTGCCTGTGCCCGGCGGGATCTGCCTCTCAGCCTCTCCTGGTGCTCCAGAAGTACCTCCAGGGAGAAAGCAGCCACTGGTGCGGGCAGGACTCGCCCTTCTCTCTGCTTCCCTTCACAGCCCCACTGGAGCGGTCTGTTGCCCGTCTCCACCCCTAGATCGCACGCTAGCCGAGCGGAGCGAGCCGAGCTCACTGCATCCTGTCCAGTGCCTGCAAAGTGCGACAGATTTGCTGAGTGTCTTAACTGTACTGAACACCGGGCGGGTAGAACAGAATGGCTTGATGAGAGACTAAATAGAGGTCATTCCTAGAAACCTTTACATACAGAAGTGACAGCTAGAAGTGAGCTCAGAGGCTGAAGAATAACCAGTGTGTGAACTCGCATCACACCTCTGTGTACCCACACACTTCCCCCCACCACAAATCTGGGGAAAAATCAGTACAAAGGCGAGGGAGTCTCCATAAACCAACACCAAAGACATTGTTTATTACAGCACGACATAGGCATTGACGTTGATATTCCTGGGCCTTCCCTGTCAAGCATAATAAATGAATAAAAGATGCATTATTTTTATATATTTTAAACTACTGGTAAGAATGTATAATTGACAGGCATTTCCATAAAGCTGCAGTAATTGAATGGGAAGAAATACAGTTTTCTGTAAGAATTTTCTGAAAGTGATTTCTCAACCACACTGGAACAAATAATACACACATCTCTATAGACACATTGAGCAGTAGATTCAAGGGGTCTGTTATTGAATCAGTTCAGTTCTTTCCAAAGTACTTTAAGCTTGCCTTGACATCCTCCTAACGCAGTAATATAATTAGTTTAAATCTTAACTATTCTGAATTGCTTTATAAAATATTTTTCTGTTACTAGCTCTTGGAAAGCATAGACACAACATCAAAATAGAGATTTTATCATTTAAAGTATATCCTTTTAGTTATTTATCTAAATACAGAAATGTTCTGCATTCTGAGCTCACTTTTAAAAAATATAATTTATGTGGGAGACATGGAGATGGAGACAGAGAGAGACCACATGAGATGAGCTCCCATCCGCTGGTTCACTGCCCAAATGCCTTCACTCCTTCAATGCCCGCCATGGCCACGGGTAGGCCAGGCTGTAGTCAGAAGCCTAGATCCCCACCCAGGTTTCCCACACAGGTGTCAGGATCCATCTCCTGCTGCCTCGCAGGGTGCACGTTAGCAGGAAGCTGGAATTGGGAGTGGAGCTGCACTTGAACCCAGGCACTGCCATACAGGATGAGGGCATTCCGGATGGCATCTCACCCACCCACCAGGCCAAACACCCACCACGGGTTCATTTTTACTTGCTTTTTCAAAAGTTACTAAATGAACCCTGTATTCAAAACAGTGTGCACTTACTGTAGCTGCTTCTTTTAGTTCGTGAAGTGACAGAGCCTCTGAATTTGAATCCAGCTAAACGACCTCGTCGACAAGACTGGGATGGAGAATTATATGAAAACGGCTCATTTTATTTTGCTAAAAGACATTTGATAGAGATGGGTTACTTACAGGTTTGTGCCTTCATTTTACAAAATCCTTTTAAACTTGTTGTGTGTACAGTTTGATTTCCAGATAAGTATGATTTTAGTTACAGCTGTTACTTACTTAGCACGTCATGGGTTCCGAGGGCCCTGTGAAACACTTGACATAGCTTATGTCATGTAAGCTGCATAGCTGCTGAATCCAGTGTGCACTCCCGTCCGTGGTGTACAGAGGAGAAAACTGACTCCAGGCAGAAACAGCTAGGAAACGGTACTGTCAGCATTACTCAAAAGATAACATTAAAAAAGGAGAAAATCCCCACGCCCTGCAATGAAAATGCTGATGTGACTCAGGCTGCAAGGAGGAGAGGAAAGCAATTTTCCAGTCTTCTGAGTCAGTGTATCAGCCAACAGCGGACAGGCGGGGTAGCCGAGCGCCAATGCTCACGAGGACTGGATTGCACACGGCGGATGCACCTCCTCTGGTCTCGGGGACTGTGGTCTGACCATTTCCTAAAGTGTCAAAAGACGTGATGTTTCACGTGGTGAACAGCTTGTGAAGAAACCAGCCCGTCTGCAAAATGATGTTTTCCAGCAACGGATCTGGTCCCTCGGATCATTCCTGTCCCAGGAAAAGGCCTCCCCTCTCAGCCCCAACTCTGGAATGAAGAGGCTAACCCTGCCTTTGCCCCTGTAGCCTGAACCACTGCCGTGCACTCTGAGCTAGCGCACCAAGGTGACCTGTACCGTAGGTGCTGCACCTGTTTCTCCTCTCCTGTCTTGTTCATTGCCAACTGGAACAGAAGTTCTGGAAAACCTGTATACTTCCAGAAACAAAGGGCAATGTAATTCAAGGATTTTCAGGAAAATCCCTTGTGGGTAGAATACTAGTCAGTGGGTATTATTTCTGCTTTGTCTGTCTGAAAATATAAAATTATTTTGAGAATATTAGGGGATTTATACTGGATAGATAGAATTTGGAAAAAATGTTGTTTTGTGTGAGCTTTACGTTCCATAATTGTTTGTTGGATGTCAGGTGTTTTTACTGGGTGATTCAGTTTTCTTAGTCCTGTAGAAATGAATTCATTGTTCTGTATTGTAATTCAGTTTCTGATGTACGTGAATGAATGTTAAAACAGTGCTCACGCCTGGCCTTTGTACCGTCTTTAGGGTGGAAAAATGGCATACTACGAAATGCGAGCTGAGCACAGTGTGGATATTGACGTGGATATCGACTGGCCTATTGCAGAGCAAAGAGTATTAAGGTAAAGAGAAGGCTTGGAGGCCTTGCACGAGGGCCCGGCACTGTTTTTAGTCGATTGTGTTTAATTGTCCTGATTTCTGGTACTCCACCCATCGTAGGCTCTTTGTAGACATGTACAGACACAGACCTTCAGGTGGCTTGTTCAGGAAGCTGAGAAACGTGGGGTCTGATTGGAGGCCACACTGGGTTTGAGTCTAGCACTAGGTTGAAGAGGATATGAGGTAAACTTGAAGGGTGAGGTCTCAAATAACTGCAGAGAGGTCACTGGAGTTTCCTGGTGAGAAGGCACGGTCAGTACTGTATGCGCACTCACAGGTCCATTTTGATTTCTTTTAGATTTGGCTATTTTGGCAAAGAGAAGCTTAAGGAGATAAAACTTTTGGTTTGCAATATTGATGGATGTCTCACCAATGGCCACATTTATGTATCAGGAGACCAAAAAGAAATAATATCCTATGATGTTAAAGATGCTATCGGGATAAGTTTATTAAAGAAAAGTGGGATCGAGGTACGTGCTGCCTGAATGTAGCCACGTGTTATAAGATTCTGATTCAGAGTCAAGAATATACAAGGAATTAAGAAATTTAAATTGTTTGTATTAACTTTTGTGAGTATCTGAAATGTAGCCTTTATATCCCTAGAGAATTCTTATATGATTTACTGTTAGGTGAGTAAACTCAGGAATTTGTCAATTAGTGAGTAATGTTTCTTGTTTATTCAGTAAGGACAAACATAGTGCTTTTAAGTAAGAGCTCTCTAATGTTTCTCAGGGGATCTTGTATCAAGAAAAATTTCTTAGGTTACAGGTGTCAACATTCCTGGAAAGGCAAATATATTACAGCTTTTTTTTTTTTTTTTTTTAAGTTTTGAGGCTGGCACTTTGTTACAGCAGGGTAAGCTGCAACCTGTGAGCCCGGCATCTCATGAGTGTTGGTTCTAGTCCCTGTTGCTCCACTTCCTTTCCAGCTTCCTGCTCGTGCACCTGGGAAGGCAGCAGAAGATGGCTCAAGTCCTTGGGCCCCAGAACACACCTGGGAGACTCAGCTGGAGTTCCAAGCTCCTGGCTTTGTCCTGAACCAGAACCTGGCTGTTGCAGGCATTGGGGGAGTGAGTCAGCTGATGTAAGACACCTCTGTCTTCAAGTAAATAAAATAAATACATCCATATATATATATGTGTGTGTGTGTATATATATATATTTATATTTATATTTCAAAGGCAGAACAACAGAGAGAGAGAGAAAGACAGTTCTGGTTCACTCCACAAATGCCTGCAACAGCTAGGGCTGGGCCAGGTGAAGCCAGGAGCCAGGAACTCCATCCAGGTCTCCCACATCGGTGTCAAAGGCCCAGCCACTTTGAGTCATCACTTTATGCCTCCCTGAGTCAGCATCAGCAGGAAGCTGGATCAGAAGCACTGCAGGGACTCAGCCAGGCACCCCAATGTGGGATGCAGACACCCCTAGAAGCTGTGCCACAACGCCCACCTCTATAGATTTTTTACATGGAGCTTATACTTGGGAATGAAAGATTGAGTTTCAATATAGTGTATTGTTAACTTTGAGTGTATTTTTAAATGAGAGCTAATGTAATAATAATTCACTAGAAATTTTACATTTGGGTTGCTAAGTATAAGGGAGAGATTATCGACTCCTAGAGAAAAGAACAGAACTGAAGAACCACCTTAGATAGGGTCAGACACTGTATGTTGTATTTCTCACCTGTAGATCTAATCCTGTCCATCTTAAAGCATCATCATACTAAGATGACAGTGGATTTTACTGAATTTGTCCTTCAGAAGAGCACAGACTCCTCATTTGTGACTTGGATTATTTACAGGGTATTATTTCCTTGTGAAAGATTCGCTTTTTCCTTTTTTAGGTGAGGCTCATCTCAGAGAGAGCCTGCTCAAAACAGACACTGTCTTCTTTAAAACTGGATTGCAAAATGGAAGTCAGTGTTTCCGACAAGCTGGCCGTGGTAGACGAATGGAGGAAAGAGATGGGCCTGTGCTGGAAGGAAGTAGCCTACCTCGGTTGGTATCCTTTTATGCAGCTACAGTAAGGAGAATCAGGGGTTTCTTCCTGCCCTTCCTTTCGTTCTTTCTCTAGATAAATAAGAAAGAAAATTCCCCCAAGTTGGCTCGACTCTGCGGAAACAGGAAGTCACGGTGCTGACCAAGCATTACGCTGGGCCAGCCCTGCTGGGGTTGCTCCGATAGGCGGTAGGGGCGTGGCCTAGCCGAGCACTGGCCAGCGTGTGCTGCGAGTCAGGCGGCACCACTGGCGGCCCACTTCTGACAGGGGAGGCCATTTTCCTCTCTGCTAAGTGCGAGATGTCAGGGCTTCCCAGGAAGTGTCTTCAGAGGATTCGTTCAGTGTGTATCAGCAAAAACCATGCAGGCATTTCAGATTCTTTTACATCAAAGTAATCTTTTAATTGAATTTTCCATGAAGTTTTTGAAGTACCCTCCTATTGTCATGGGGCTATTATAGGGCTTAATAAAATAATCTGGGTAAAGCACTTAGCAGAGTTTCCAGCTGACTCAAAAATCGACTTGAAAAGACAATTTGAGATAATTGAAGGTGTGCAAACATGTATTAAGTTATTAGATGACAGTAGGAATTATTGTCAGTTTTGTGCATTTGATGATATTACATCCTTTTAAAATTATAAATTTGCCAAAAATAAATGCCAGAGTTTTTGTGTAAACTATGATGTCCTGGAACTCCCTCCTCTCCCTCTCTTCCAGAAAATGAGGGTGTAGGGGATAAAAAAAAAAAAAAGAGGTAAATTATCTAAAACATTGATAATTATTCAGATGAACTTGGGGTTCTTACATGTTTGAAATTTGCCTTAATAAAGCATTTAAACAATGTGTAGCTTATGTATAGAATTTCTGATTGCCATTATTAATAATCATAAACAAAAAGTATCACGAGCAGAAAAGTATAGTCCATTGTCCTATAGATTCTTAGGAAAAACTCTAGACCTCCATTATATTTAAAATAGTTTTGCTTTATTCCATCCAATCCTTGAGGTTCTGAGGATGCAGTGACTTGGGTCACAGATACCCAGAGTTATTTCTGCTGTTTGCACGATGCAGTTGCCAGTGTCTTCGTCTCCCAGAATGCTCAGCCCCGTGTTTCCCCCTAGGCAACGAGGTGTCTGACGAAGAATGCCTGAAGAGGGCCGGCCTGAGCGCCGTGCCTGCCGACGCCTGCTCTGCCGCCCAGAAGACCGTCGCGTACATCTGCAAGAGCAACGGTGGCCGCGGCGCCATCCGCGAGTTTGCCGAGCACATTTTCCTACTCATGGAAAAGGTGAATAATTCATGCCAAAAATAGAAATTAGTGCCACGTTGGGAAAGAAAGAACACAGCCTTTGTCAGCCACTTTGCTTTCATTTTTGATTCAGTACAGTCCATGTTGTAATGTTGCAGAAGGTGTGATTTGATTTGTGATCTCACTACCTTTTAAAAGCGAAGTCTTCTCCAATTATCATTCCAGAAACCTATGAAATAATCGTGCTCTCCTTTTCTCTTTCCGCGAGATAATGAAATATTTAGAGATTGATCTAGTCTTTCTCAGATTTTTAGTCAATGCCAGTAAGGACATCATCAGAATTGACTTTGTATTGTACCCTGTAAAACTGTGTGTTTGTGTGCTTTCAACAATGCTGGGATTTTATTTATTTGGGGACAGTGTGTCTAGTAAGACATGCCCTTCTATTAATTAATAAAATCACATTTCACAAACTTGATGAAAACTGCCTGGTTGCTATAGAAGAACTTTACAAAGCGTTTGCTTATTTCCATTAAACGCTGGCCGTGTGATCTTAGAAGCAAGCCACTGGGTGCCAAGTGTGAGGCCTATGAGTGTATTTTATATACGTACGTGGAGCACATAGATACATATATCAGTGTGTTCACATACTGCAAAGCTTCTCTGTTGATATGAAGGAGGTGGAGTAAATCATCTGAGTTGCCTCCGAGATAAGGGGTAATTTTGTGTCCTGATGGTGCCAACGTCACGGTTTTAGAGCCAACACGGACCACCCCACCTGATGTCGACACTGTCTCATCAACACTGACCATTTCCCACGGAGCGTTTGCATCTCCTGCCACCACAGGAAGTGTGCCTGTGAAACCCTGCCAAGGAGCAGGCTGCTTGGCCTCGCTGCGCTCTGAGCCGAAGTCCTCCACGGAACTTGGCAGATCCGCTCAGCTCAGAGTCGCCCCCAGAGAGCAGACAGAAACTGACCGAAAAGGAACCGCCTCCAACTTTCATTTCCTTTACAGCTTGTCCCGGTTTTACTCTCACCTTCCTGGTGTTCCAGTCGCTGACTTCATGTTTCCCACGCCCTTCCTTTATGCACTCCCCAAAGTTCTCAGCTCAGTGCGTGTTCTTCCAGACCTGACCTGCAGGCCCACTGCTGTCCTGGGAGTTTTGGTTGCAGTCCCTCTGCGTGGAGTCGGCCAGACCCTGGGCTTCACCTCGCAGATGCCTGATTTTTGCACCAAGAAGATGGGGGAGCTCCCCAGCTTTCCTGTCTCTCTCTGTTCAGACACCACGTCTGGAGTGGTGCTGCCAGCCCAGGGCCCAGCACCGCTGTGTGTGCTGTGACCCTTCTCACAGTCTTCTCGTGAATAAAACATGCTCCCGTGCCAACGTGGTACACGCCCTGGTATTTCCAACCGTAGTTCCTACCGACTGTTGCAGGTTTCTCCACTCCCATCAAGCTTTTCGGAGTGTTCTCCAACAGTGCTTCCACTGGAGTGTTCTCAAGTCTCACCTTTGTCAATGTCAATCATTCATTTTTCAGAAAGCTTCTGCTGAAAGCCTCCCAGGGTAATTACCAGGGGTGAGTGTAGGTTACCCTGGAGTCCTGGTTTCATTTCCACCCCAAAACCCAAGTGTGAGAAGACAGTTCAGGCCTCACTGTTCTCTGTGCACCCACAGAGGGAAATCTCAGTTAACTCTGATACGCAAGTTGCTACTCCCATCTTTACAACAAGAAATAAACATGGGGCCGGTGCTGTGGCACAGCGAGTAAAGCCGCCTCCTGCAGTGCCAGCATCCCATATGGGTGCCAGTTCAAGTCCCAGCTGCTGCACTTCCGATCGAGCTCTCTGCTATGGCCTGGGAAAGCAGTGGAAGATGGCCCAAGTCCTTGGGCCCCTGCACCCACGTGGGAGACCCAGAAAAAGCTCTGGCTTCGGATCGGCACAGCTTTGGCCATTGCAGCCATCTGGAGAGTGAACCAGCAGATGGAGGACCTCTCTCTCTGCCTCTCCTTCTCTAACTCTGACTCTCAAATAAATAAATAAATAAGAGAGAGAGAAAGGGAAAGGAGGGAGGGAAGGAGGGGCTGAACAAAGTGAAGACAGTGACTTGACTTGGACCTGTTGGAGGACTGAAGCCACAGGCCCAGTGGCCACACCGGTGGGAAGCAGTCCCATGTAGCACCAGAGCAGAAGTCCCTGCACGTGACAAACGATGCAGACACCTGACTACTCATTTTGATGGATTTCTGGAGGCTGAGTGTGAACAAATCCAAGAATGAGAGGCTGTTGCCCACTATCACAGGGGAGTGGAGTGGACAACAGGAATGACACAGGTTCTCACAGAGAGGGTCTGAGGACCCAAGAAAATTCACTCCTGACACTGGCAGGAGAAGGAAAGGAGCCACCGTGAAACTTCCAAGTTCTCCCCAAGGAAGGGCTCATTACTGTCCAGGAACAAGACCTTCTCTCCAGAGGGCGATAGTGAGACTTCACCCTGGCTTGGAAAGGGGACTCTGCTCAACCCCAGCCCACTTCCCACTCTCAGCTAGAGTGAAAACCCTCGGTCAGGAGAGGAGGTGTCAAGGGAAGTAGCCAGGGGAAACAACAGAGAGCGTGGGAAGAAGGTGGGCCCTGGAGGGGGGACAGAAACATCACTGAGCACCCTCCCAAGACACAGGCCTACTCAGAGCCCGGCATGCGCCCATCTCCCAGCAAGTCTCAGGCCTGCTAACGGGGTTGTAGCCTAAACAGCTGTTAAGACTCTGACTTCCTCTACAGGAAACAAGGAGCACTGAAAGCCACAGACAAGGACACTGGGGGAATGTGGAGCTGCAGAACAAGGCGAAATGCAGCCCAGCTCCCAGCAAGATTAACATCTGTCTTCACACTGAAAACCTGACCATCTCAGGAGCTTTACCCCATGTAACTTATCTGTGGTCAACAGCAGCAGCAACAAATCATCAGACGCAGCCAAGGCGAGAATAAGCAGACCCTGGAGAGAGAGCAGACACCTGTCTGGACTGATACCACACAGTCAGTGTCATCAGGCAGAGTGTAACAGGCTATGGTTTGGTGTAAAGGGATATGGTAATGGGAAAATAACACCATGCAAGACACAGTTGGGTGTCACTCCCCCTCTTCATGGAGGAACGACACAGGACCCTGCGCTGTTCTTTTGTCTGCTCGGCCCTTCCCGGGTTTGCTGCTGGTCCTTCCCAGGTTGGCTACCGACCCCTCCACCTCCGTGGAAGGGCGGCTCCCCCTGCCACTTTCCCCACTTCCGCGGGGGAGCGGCACACCTCCGGCCGGCTCTCTCGGGGGCTTCACAGGTGTTCCTTCAGATGTTCCTGGTGCATGTTGTCTCTCTCCTCCTTTATAGTCCTCTTCCACCAATCCCAACTCTGCTATCCACACGCCGAGCATGCTGCTCTCCTCCAGTCAGGAGCAGGATCAGCTCCTGCAGCTTGTCAAACTGATGAGGCAGCTGCGTAGAGGCTGTTTGGTCTCAGCGCCATATTGTGGGAGAGCAGATGCATAGAATAAGTCTTAATTCCAGTAACTTAGGTCTAGTCTCAGTTGCTCCCCACAGTTGGGTAAGGTCAGTAGAGAGATGGAAACTAAAAGAATTTCAAAGTAAATAATAGAAACTGAGGACACGACAGATAAGCAAGAAGTGTAACGTAATGGGAATATGCAGGTCTTCAAAAAGTTCATGGAAATCCTGCCTTATCTCTTAATTCCATTTTCCCATTAACATTTTCAAGCACCCTCTTACAGCAGAAGCAGTTAGAAGAAATATTAGACATGGCAATAGCAAAGAATCAAAATTGACAGGTGCCAAACCACAGAGCCAGGAATCCCAGGAAACACCAACTATCAAAGGATTCAAACCCAAATCCCACAACCAGGCATATCATATTCGAACTGCAGGAAATCAAAGTCAGAAAACCTTGAAGGAACCAAGAGAGAAAAAAAAAATAGTGGAATAAATATGAATCATAGCAGACCGCTCTTCCGAAACTAAGCAAGAAGAGCAGAGTGCAATCTTCGAAATGTTGGAGAAAAAAAAAAAAAAAAAAACACCTATATCCAGTAAATATTTCCTTCCAAAGTAAAGAAGACTTTCTCAGGCAAGCTGAGGGATTTCATCACCAGCTAACCTGTCCGATAAAAAATCTTCAGTTCTTCAAGGAGAAGAGAAAATGCTATGGGTTACAACCTGAATTGACACGAAGAGCCTTAGGGAAAGAGTACACAGGGCAGGTGTGTGGCAGAGCAGTCAAGTTACCACTGGGGATGCCTATATCCAACAATGGAGAGCGCAGTTGGAGACCCAGCTACTCTGCCGCCTGCCCCACTTCCTGCTAATGCGCTTTGGAAAGCAGCAGGTGGCCCAAGTACTGGGGCCCTGGCCACCCACAGGGAACACCGGGATGGAATTCCTGGCCCCTGGTCTTAACCTGGCCCACCCCTGGCCATTGCTATGATTTGGGACGTGAACCAGCAGATGGAAGATCCCTTCTTGTTTCTGTGCCTTTCAGTGCCTATGGGCACTGGCTCAAGTCCTGGCTGCACTGCTTCTGGTCCAGCTCTCTGTATGGCCCAGGAAAGCAGTAGAAGATGGCCCAAGTACTTATGCCCCTGCACCTATGTGGGAAACCCAGAAGAAGCTCCTGGCTTCAGATCGGCCTGGCACCAGCCATTCCAACTATTTGGGGAATTAACCAGTGAACCAGTGGATGGAAGACCTTTGTCTGTCTGTCTCTCTCTGCCTCTAAAATAAATAAATAATCTTTTAAAAATTAAAAATGTTTATAGGGCTGGCACTGTGACATAGCAGGTAAAGTCTCCATCTGCAGTGCTGGCATCCCAAATGGGTGCCAGTTCGAGACCCGGCTGCTCCACTTCCTATCCAGTTCTCTGCTATGGCCTGGGAAAGCAGTGAAAGATGGCCCAGGTCCTTGGGCCCCTGGACCCACGTGGGAGACCCAGAGGAAGTTCCTAGCTCCTAGGTTTGGATTGGCTCAGCTCCAGCCATTGTGGCCACTGTGAGAGTGAACCAGTGGATGGAAGACTCTCTCTGTCTCTGTCTCTCTCTCTCTCTGCCTCTGCCTCTCTGTAACTCTACCTTTCAAGTAAATAAATCTTTTTTGAAAAAAGATTTACCAGCTATTTTTAAAAATACTTTTAAAGTTAAAAAGAAAATACATTAATAAGTAATATAATATCTTTGTTTCTTATCCTTAAATTATCTAAAAGGTAATTTTTTAAAGAAATAATTAGTAGCAAGGTGTTAGATGCATGTAGTGAAAGATGGACAGAAATGTCACAAGAGAAACTTCCTTACTCTAATTAAAGATAATAAAGTATTAAATGAGAAAACATGAGTAACATATTTAGAGTAGTACCTGACTCATACAGGGCCTCTAAGTGTACATTATTATTACGAGCAATAAACACACTTGGATTCT